CGTGGTCATGACGTTTTTGGGGTTCTTCTTGTTGTACATAGGGATGTAGTGTAGCAAGATGCTTAACTTGGGGTCGGTCAAGAGTGTATCCACGTTCTTCCCGAGATCAAAACTCTTGAGCGTCTTGTCTATGCGTTTGTTTTTTAGCCGATACCAACGCAGCAGAAGCTTGTTCGAATTTGTCAACTGTGGCATCGCGGCCTTGATCGCTGTTTCAAGGGCTGAAACAGGAGCCATCCTGTTTTCTTCATCGCCTAGTCTGAGGAACCTTCCAAGTGTCTTGCGGTTTTGGTCGGAGCGACTAAGCGACAAGTTAAGCGGGTACGCATGAATGGCCGAGCAGGAGCGTTGTACACCGGCAAGGAAGATAGTCAGGAGCACCAGAATAGCTGTTTGGAAGCGCATGGCCACCCTCCTCCCTTTGAGGACTAAGTAAAAATGACTGATATTTCTTAACCGTACCCACAAACATATGTGGTACAAGACGTGGTTTACAATTCGGTACCGTAATAGGTGATTGCAGGTATTAATACATGTAATTTATAGATAATACTACCCTTAGTAAGAAAAAACCTCGCTAGTTTTATTTCAAATCTCCACATAGTGGTCTATTACCGGATAAAAAGAGACAGAAAATTTACAATGGATTACCGGTACAGCACTACACCCCGTTTTCGTGGAAGTGGACCGTATTGGATTTGCAAATAAATAGGGTTTTTGGCTTACAATTAATTGTTCATTTGCATTCAGAATCATCAGATCCAGAAGTTTATCAAAGGTCCAAGGGCGCGAAAACGGGGTGCAGTACTGTACATGTTCTGAAGGTATGTAGAACGTTTTACCCACTACAGAGACAGCTGTTTGCACATGTACTGGTTTGGCTGCACGCAATCAGTGCAGTACAGATTGTAATGTACAGTTCGCAAAAGCTACTCAGTTCAACTGAGTCAGTTGTACATGTATTACATCATGTACCCGACACCAATGATTACATGTAATTTACATGTAATCTTTGGGGTCTGGTACGTTAGATACATGCAAACACAAATTGACACGAGCAAACACAAATAGCTGCTTTTGACTACTAGCGAACACTTGGAACCAGCAAATTTTAAGAAAACTTACGAGCAGCTCAAGCTTCGGGAGACGATAATCACAGAACCCCCAAAACTTATTGACAGATCCCCCTTATTGGACCCCATATGGTTTTTGCGATTGGACAGTACCAGTGCAGAACCAGCCCCATCATAACATGTTTATTACCATTATTATTATGGTATAATAAATATGGTCACAAAAGGATATCAAAACAGTAAGCACCGCAGCATACCATGGCTTCATTCGTTGTCTAGACCCCCCCACCACCACCACCACCTTCCCAGTGCGGCATCGTCTCACACAGGTGCATGGCGAACCGCAAGAATACACTGCTACTACTCCTGAAAGGCACGCACAGCTTCAGATTAACTCGCGCGAGTTTAGTTGAATCGAGAGTCAATTTGGTTAAACTTGCGTGAGTTAAGTTGAGCTCACATTAACGCTGATGTGAGTATCGGTAAAAGATAGCAATGCCAAGTCTAAATCATAATGATACAGACTGCCCAGAAGCTTAAAAACACATACATCTTATACCCTTGCAAACCCGGTCATACTACTTTCCGTCTTTTCAGCCAAAACTTACGTGGTACGAATGAATTTCAAGAGCCCATAGCCTATGCTTACTTGATATCCGTTGGGAGCTTAGCGGAACCACGCTTTTTAGTTTCTGGGCGGAGTCTTAATCTCACTTTTGGTACTGTAGATTTATGGGAATACCGGCTAAAATCTTCAAAAATAACTTGAGTTCAATAAGGCATAAGTTTGGGGGTTCTGTGATTATCGTCTCGCTCAAGCTTCGTGACCATTTAAGATGCAGCATGTGGTTTTAAAAAAACTACGTGTTGCGTCGCCCGTTTGGCTTTGCAATTGCAAAACTATACTGTCGATGTGATCGCAAGACTAACCGGTCAGTTTAATATATGTATATTTTTTTCAAATTATTAAAAGGGGGCGCGAATATAATTCTTGTATATCAAGATGGGGTTCAAATTCACTTTTTTAGCCTGTGAGACATCATCTTACGAGGGAATATAACAAACACAGGTTAGAATCTGAATAACACTGTAGCCCATCACCCACAATACGCACGGACAGGGCAACCTGCCAGGTTACCTGGTGTTGAAGGAATGATTTGCGCAGAGTTGTTAGGGCAGTACAGAACTGAATGAGGACAAAGGTAGAGAGGATTAGGCGGCCATAGTGAAGAGGAAGTCTTGAATGTAGAAGGAGAAGACGCTTGTGTGGTAGAGTTCGTAAAAGAGGAAGTGGTGATTTAGATAGTCTGGTGTCCTGGAGGGGAGTTATTCTCCACCAACCAGACCAGTTATATAAGAAATCTCTATATGATATAGCACAATTATATTCCCCTAGATAGTCAGCATCACATCGGAGATGGTTACTTCAACAGCCTCCCACATCGAGGAATGTGTATGATGCTCTATCTGTCAGGTGCACCACAGGTGGCTGTTAATAACAGTCCTGTGCGTACATGAACATTTACAAGAGGTAGATCTTGTTTTGATATTGACATTCTTTTTTCTTTGACTTCTATTGTCAGATTTGTCGTTTTGTTACCAGTTTTGGCAGGGGTTGTACAGATTTCTTGTTTTATTGTTATTTTGGCTACTCAGGAAAACCGTAGAGGATTAAACCTGTTCACCATAGTAGGATGTCGTTGTTAGCGCTTTAGTTGCACGCGTTTTGAAGAAAGCTACTCAGGAAAACCTTTCATTTTGAGGTATCAAAACCTGTTCGCTGTATTGTTGGCTACTCAGGAAACCTTTGAGGATACACCTGTTCACCGTGTTGATATTTAGATATTTTGTGAAAGTTGTGTTAAACTTTTGTTCATTAAACTGCCAGTTTTGTGCTCTTTAGTTTGTGGATATTTCTTCACACCTTGAAATTTCGTATTTGCCTTTTTGTTAATTATTTGATTGCTTTTACTCTTGTGTGGAGAGTTTATAGTTTTCCAATATTTTTAAAGAAAGGCTACAGCTTTCAAAGCATAAAAATATCTAACAGTGTCATCGGTAGTGTACGCATCTTGTTTGCAGGCTCTCATCGTTGGGGCTATTTTTCTCCCTAGAGGCTCATGGAGTTGTTTCTCATTTCGAAGATTTTTATTTTGTTTATACTTCGCAAGTGCAAGCAATAGGTTTGTAAACTATCGATTCCATTGAAAATGAAACTAATGCAGTAAAACTATAGTTGCTTTCTGTAGACAGAGGCTTGTGTAGGCTTGTCTTAAAGTCATAAAGTATTGAAGATTTTTTCTTTATGCTGGAAATGTTTGAAACTTTTGCCGCAATAAATTTTTTAAGTTTGGCGAATTGAATGAATTGTTTCGGCGTTCCAGTTTCATACATTTCTGGGCGTATTTCTTACTTGGTTAAATACCAGACACATGTTTGTATGGACAATTGCCCATTTTCATTTTATCTCTTTCTTGTTTTTTTAAGGTATATTTTTATTTTACAGGTCCAAAATGTAGTGGATTACCTGTTCTCAAGAAGCCGTAGATCTGCATTCAGTAGACTGCTGCAGCTTTGCATTAAGCGAGGTTTTAGCTGTGCCATTCGGCCTTGTAGCTCGAGATGTACATATTTAAAATGGTATCTCATTAAGTACACATATACTAGTAGTAAATACACAGCTTGTAGCTGGAATATTTTAAGCACAGCTTTATAGCTCGCAAGTGGGGCATTTGGCCTCCCAGTATGGCGTGACACTACAGCAATGCTGCTGGTGCGTGAGGGCGGTATTTAGTTCTTCGCCTTAAATATGTACTACATGTACTTGTACATCATCAAATGCATGTACGTGTATGTGTACGTGTACGTGTACGCGTACATGTACGTAGAGCACAAGGCACTGTGGCCTTCTAGTTCGGCTTTTCAACCAGCAGCAATAGTACAGCGCTATGGCTGGTCTGGCATCATGGCCTCACAACTCGGCAATGGCCGGTGTGGCACGGAATGTATGTGTCTCGTGCGGCGCTACAGCTCCATGGCTGGCGCGGGGGTTTCATGACCTCCCAGCATGGCGAATAACTACGCATGCTGTGCTACAGCACAGTGGCTGGAGCCAAGCTGGCAACGTGGCCTCACGCGAGTTGGTGTCCGTCGGGCGATTTTCTCTCCGATCTCCTTCATGAGCCTTGGGGCTTGGAGGCGCATCGTCTTACCGCTTTCAGCTCGTCAGTACCCTGGCGAAGCGTTGGGCTGATAACCTGTTGAAGGAATGATTTGCGCAGAGTTGTTACGGCAGTACAGAACTGAATGAGGACAAAGGTAGAGAGGATTAGGCGGCCATAGTGAAGAGGAAGTCTTGAATGTAGAAGGAGAAGACGCTTGTGTGGTAGAGTTCGTAAAAGAGGAAGTGGTGATTTAGATAGTCTGGTGTCCTGGAGGGGAGTTATTCTCCACCAACCAGTCCAGTTATATAAGAAATCTATATATGATATAGCACAATTATATTCCCCTAGATAGTCAGCATCACATCGGAGATGGTTACTTCAACACCTGGTGCTCGGCTGCGCACAGCCTTGCACAGGAGATGGACGAGCAGGCAACGTGCATCATGGCTGGCATTTGTGACACTAATGTGACTACGAAGTGTGGCACCAGTGAATCTTTGAGTGGCTTCCTTCATTGTCCAGAAAGCCCCAGCAGCCCCAGGGTCCTGACCAGCCAGCGCCGTCCAGCGCACACCACAGGGCGATGCCGGGTCTCAGCGCGTCGGAGCTGCCACCGGAGGCGCTCCACGCTGGGGACACGATAGAGTATTTCTCCCGTGCCTTTGTCTGCAGCGACCACCGAGGGTATCGTCGCGCCGTCGTCACCTGTGTCGACGGCGGTGACGACGTGGACTTCCCCGTCACTGTAAGCACTGAGGAACCGTTACCGACGGACATGATGGTCAAGAAGGTGAGAGACTGCCTGGGCAACCCCCTGTCACGCGTCAAGACAAAGTGGCGTAAGGTTCGGACGTTTGAGTTGGTCCCAGGAACCTTTTCCGCTCCAACGAGGTCCAGTGTGCTGAATAGTGCCCTACAAGCGGCTGTCGCAGCGGCATGCGAGGCCGTTCGTGGAGAACGTGAGCATCTACCCGAGGAGATCGTGCCGGAAACGCCACCGAGCAGCGCAAGCAGCTCCCCGATCATACAGACAAACCAAAGCCACGTCGTGCCACCCAGCACCCCACCGCGAGTCTCTACTCCGGATTCGTTATATGCAGGAGGGTCTACGGTATTCGGTGATAATTCCCCATGTGAGGAGGACTCTGGAACGTCAGCGGTGAGAGAG